GCAGCATGCAGATGCTTTGCAGAAGATATTTCTGAATGATATAAACATCGCTGTGTTTTCTCATAACTGTTTAATCACAGTTCAGCTCTTGAAAACAGACATGCTCCACCAATTTGGATTTTAGATAAGTACACCCAGGAGACATGGCCGCTTCCTTGAGAGGAAATGAATCCCTGTGTGGGATGTGTTGGTGTGTTTGTGTATGTGTGTTTGTGTGTGGGCCGTGAACTCCTCTTGGTTGCGGTCTGAAGCAGATGTGAAAACTGCATGATTTCAACTTGTACACACAATATTTATTTGGTTGCAATCCACCAACCTTTTCAGTCAGACAGGGCAGTTTTCTAAAACAGAACAATGCCAACAGAGTGCAGCCCACAGGGGGTTGTGGGAGGTAAAGAGTGACACAGAGGTGGAGAGGGAAAAAGAAATAGAAGAAGAGCTTTACTCAGCTTTTGAAGAGATGTTTGTGTCTACTGAAAAAGACGTCTGGTGGGATGTTAAGTAAACTTTTATCCAAGTTTGAAGAATTTTTTTTTGAAAATATCTGGTCCAAACCAAGATTAAGGACATATACACACATATTAACCAAAGTCTCACACAAAGTTGTACAAATAAGAACTGTTTTTCTTCCGCTATCTATTCAAATGTATTGTTTTCAAGAGTAAAACTGTTTGTGTGAGCTGGGTGAGTTGAGAGAGGTGAAAAGTCCCATTTTCTTGGGAGTACTATGATGATCTAAGAGTCAGTGTCAGGTTTTTATGAAATGCTTCAACCCAGTAAAAACTGGAAGGGTCTTTCATTTTAATGTGTTTAAGTTGGCTAACTTTGCCTCAAAAGTAGAGAAAAGAAGGCAAGGAGGGAGTCTTTCTTATGATTTATCTAGTAGGTTATGATCAAATCATTTGTACATTTTGTTGTGAACATGAACATCCACAAATCTGATTTGAAAAGAATTGGTTTTCTTTATTTTTGGACTCTTGTAGCATTGTTTAAAATGTATGAGCTGCGTTCTGGATCTGGTTTATGTTATACAGTCGTGTCTTTCAAGCCCACAAGGGGCTCGGTTGTGTGCGTGACAAATACAAAAAAACAACATAATCGTCATCATGAAAAAAAAAAAAAAAACAGAGAGGAGAGGAGGTGGCTGAGATGGGACGATTAGTGAAGACAATAGAGGATGAAGAAAGAGGGAACAGGCCAAAAGCAGTGCATGCGAGGAATAGAGTTAGATAAAATATGGATACATGAAGGAATAATTAGGCAGTTATAATAATATGATACGAAAAACATGATTAACTACTGTTCCTGTGGGAGTTCAGACCACAGCTCATCAACATAGCAACACCTCTAGAGTTGGTCGGTCTTGTTCAAGGACATTTTTGATCCTTCTTGAACCTCCCTATTAACATTTCCCACCCCGCTGCCTGCTGAAGAGAGGCGAGATGGTGGAAATGTGAGAGAGGCTGATGGAGGGGAGGGTGGGTATGTAGTGAGTTATGGTCTAACACATATTAACACGCCCACAAGCTTGAGATGTCCCAGGGCCAGGCTGCTGCTTTTCTTGGACAGGCATCCTACAACGTGGACGCAGCGATGGTGATGGAGATTAGCGACTTCAAAGCCCGCTGCGAACCAACAACTGAAGACTTAAACCACATTACAGAGCAGGCTTAAGATTTGATCTGTCAAAATAAAAAAGTTAATGTTAAAGGCATGACGAGGGTGGATTCCAGAGCTTAACGCACATGCATAGACACATATGCAGCAGCTTAGGGTGTGTGTGTGTTTTGTGTGTGATTAGTGAAATGGATATCTCTGTACTTCTAAGCAGCATGTCTATCAGTAACTACAATTAGCCAGAGGTCATTGCCATGGCCACCAGTGGTCCGTGACCACTTATAGCCCTCTGCTCCCCTCCTCCCTCCCTCTATCTGTCTCTTTCTTCTCCCTCTTTCCATATCTCTCTTTCTCTAGATCCCCAAGAAGCAATAACTTACGTGTTGGCCTGCCGACATGCACCACCAACCGCACAACCCTGATAAGTAAAATGTCTGTATCAACTAGTCACCACAACACACAGACGTGGTATGTTTGTGTGTGTCCGGGGAGGTCCGTATGCAGCAGCTGATCTGTTATTTGTCTCGGATGGTTGATCTGAGTAATGGCACTGCAGATCAGAGTAGCTGGGGGCCCTGTGGGAGAAATATATCACTCGAAAAACCCTCTTGCATGTACACACACCCTGCCTCCAGAAAATACACACACACCCCAGCCTCGGGGCCAGACACAGTAGGCCCGCAACCCGTTTACTGTGAAAGTTAATGAGGCCTCCAGGCTTCTTCAGATCAGCAGAAGGTCGGACCTCGGGTGTTGAACCTCTGCAGACCGCCTCCCATGAAGACAGCAGCAAGACGATGAGTGACTTAATGAGGTCAAACAGAGGGGACTAGTATGAAGACCTGTCTGATGGTTATCATGAAGACCACAGGCCTCTCTGTTCACGTAACACTGGTCCAGTAATGATAACAGAAGAGCTCAGTTCAAACTTAGACAGAGAGGAGTCAAACTGAAACATGCTTCGACAAAGATGCGTATAATTGTCTTTGTGTGGGAGGGAGGTGTTGCCATTACAGCAGTCAGTTTGGTCCGGACTGAAATGTCACAACAACTCTGGGATGCCAGAGGATGTAGCTTTTGTTGACATTTTCGTTTTTTTAATAAAATGACTCGACAGCTATTTTATGTATTTCCATTAAATTTAGACATTCACGGTGCCTTGAGCATGGATCCTATTAACTTTACTGATCCCCTGAATTTTCCACTGGCACTACCAGCAGGTCAAAGTTTTTACTTGTCAAATAAAATATCTCCTGGAATTATTGGCAAACATTTTGGTACAGACATTCATGGTTCCCAGAGGATGTTGCCAAATAACTT